ATGCACATTATTTGCAAAAAAAAAAAAAAACATATTAGTAAGTAATTTTATGTATGATTTGTTTAGTCCTGCTCAATTAACTGAATAAATATCTATTTATTAAATTTACCTATTACTTATTACGTACAGAAATACGTACGTACATCAACCAATTAGATGCAAATATTTGATTTCCATCCGAGCGTGGGATCCACAAATTTTTAAGTCGGCAATAAAACTATGACCTTCATGTTACTAATACCTATTTCCTACTGTTTACTTATAATAAAATTAGCTTTTACCCGCGACTTCGTCCGCTTGACCGGGATATGTGGATTGACCGGGATGAATAGTAGCCCATGACTTTCTCTATCCCATATAGTACGTGTATGTATATTAAATTTATTGAGAATTGATTGAACAGCTAAATTGAGAGGTAATAAATAGCAACTATATGCGATGCGTCTATAAGCGACTGTTACCACTTTCCATCAGGTGGGCCGTCAGCTTGTTTGCTATTCTAAGTTGTATAAAAAAAATACATAAATAATAATAATTTTTGTTTCCTGTTCTTTTTGAAGACGGTTGAAAATCACATACATCTAGGGAGACTTTCCGTCAAGCACCAATCTCAACTTACATCTAGCTCAAGCCGCTTTCGTCATAATGTAACGCCACATAATGTAACAGTAAATCATATTTGTTACTTAATACAGTAAATTCCACGCGTAGGACAAGTGGGGCGAGGGCGACATGCCTTGTTTAATTCCGTTACAAGCTGTGACAAAACTGTTAAAGTGCTTTAACATTGTAATATTATCAGTCAGTAGGTCCGATTTTATCATCGCAATGAAGATTGCATAGTAGTGCTTTAAGAGAATTTTTATTGAAAGTGAAAATAGGAGTACTTAAATATTTGTTGTCGCTTCTAGAAGCAGTTAATAATGCATCTACTGTTTTCCCTTTACTTTTTATAACCCCTAAAGCAAACAGGTTTTTTTTTTAATAAGTGAGAATAGTAACTCCGCCTGCACTATCGGTATACGTTGGGGGGCATGCAATGCAATGTTTCCAGTGGGAACCGCGTGGAGGTCGACCTGCTAATAATGGGGTTATTAGATCCCATTACTAATCCTTTTCCCCCTATGAAAGTGAAGGTAAAGGACAACCACTTGTCTTAATGAGACAAATCCGTAGATATTTACTACAACGATTTCCAGCGGATACCATGTGGAGATCGATCAGGATGAGGTATATTTCCAGCAACTGAATTGTATTTTTTTTATGATGATAATGGAATGGTAACCCTGCCTATGCTAACGGTATACACTAGCGGGGCACCAGTGAGGGTTGATAGGTGAGAATGAAAAGACAGGTCAGTTAGCCCATCACTTGGAATTTAGCACGATAGTTTCCAGGGGGGACCACGTGGAGGTCGACCTGACTGAGTATATTGCTAGCAATCCCCCCTCCCCCGCAACTGAGCTGTTAGACCTTCCCTTTATTTATAAACGGTTGCGACATTACTCATTTACAAATTTCCTTAATGCATTTTTTAAATAGACTCCAACATATAAATCAGCTGCATAGCAGAAGAATCCATGACATCTTATAAGTTTAACTCCTGTAACGGAAAGTTAAAATATTTTTACTTTACGCTTCCCTTAAATATTTTTAAGAGAGTAAACAATACAAGGATGTTATGTCCATGGTACTGCTCACGTCTTTAGGCGACGGTTACCACTTTCCATCAGGTTGGCCGTTAGATTGTTTGCCATTCTAAGTTGTATAAAAAAAAGTATTTTTTAATTAATTATTCATATCAATTCCGTGATGTTTTGCGAGCGATAACATCAACGGTTGAAGACAAAGACTTGCACTAATTCGCTTTGTTCTGCATTATGTAAGACAGGGTAATTTATGCGATTACTTTTTTTTGTATGTTACCTTATTATAAACCTTGGATTTGAATTTTCGGATAATGCTATGTGTAAGTTTACATTATATAAATAAAGCATCGAGTCTCAAAAAGAGATCAACTTTTTTGTCAGCTAATTGTCAAATTACCTGATTAGTTTTTTCTTTATACAGTATTCTATATATTTAAGCATAAAATGTATCTTGACATATTATATTATTTAATAAATAAAAAACGTGTTTACGCATTAAAAATAGATGCAGAATTTATAAGACAAAATAAATATAGCAATTATAAAGGAATCACTCATAACTATTTATCACGCAAAATTGTATGAAAAAGTTGACCCGTTTTTCTCGAAGCATTTTTATGGAGATACAAACTAAGTGTTTAAGGTTTCGTTGTTCTTCACTGATTTATATACATATGGTAAAATTATAACAAAACGATATCTGTAATTCAGACATATTTAAGAAAAATTGCCATCAGGGGATATAAATAAATAAATAAATATTAAAATAATTATTATATTTATAATTTCAAATAAAAAAAATTTTAGAATGTTTATCAGTCGGTGTGTTTGTTACAAAATCACGCGAAAACTACTGCACCAAATTGGATGTTGTTTTCACATTTATGAAGGTCTTACTTATATGTATGTAGGTGTATGCTCTATCTTTATATGCCATTTAGAAATAATCATCTATTTTATTGGTTTAAAATTTACGTGTACGTGTTTGTAAGCAAAAGCTACGTAGTTTTTTTTTTCTGACTGGTAATGAAAAGGACCAAATGTTTAAATAGAAGGTTCTCATCTGTATATTTTGATGTATGTCTTTGAATGGAACTTATTCTCCCATATAATCCATGTAGCTGATGTTTTTAACGCAGCGAAATCTTGAATTATTACTACAGTACGAGGTTTGTCCGGAAAGTACGTATAAAAGTTTTTTAAAAATTTTATTTTACAATTATTCAGGTAAATCAATTTTATCCCCTTCAAAGTACTCCCCCTGTGACATAATGCACTTGTGCCAACGCCGTTTCCACTGTGAGAAGGCTCCTTGAAAGTCCTCTGGTTGTAGGTTTCTCAGCTGCCCCGTCGTAGCTTTTTTTATCTCATTTATGTCCCCCAAATGCCGCCCCCGAAGTACCAATTTGGTTTTTGGGAACAAGAAGAAGTCACACGGGGCCAAATCCGGCTAATAGGGGGGGTGTTCGGTCACCGTAATGGAATTTTTACTCAAAAACTCACGGACAACAAGAGAGGTGTGGGCAGGGGCATTGTCGTGGTGAAGAATCCAACGCCCCTCTCGCGCCAATTCTGGATGAACTCGTGCCACACGAGCTTTGAGGCGTCTGAGCACATCGACGTAGAATTTTCCATCAACTGTCTGGCCTGGAGGGACGAATTCTTGATGGACAATCCCCCGAACATCGAAAAAAACAATCAACATTGTCTCGGCCCTCTCTGAATCTTTTTAGCCACTTGTGGACGGTTGGTTCCTTCACAGCATCATCCCCATAAACTGTTCTGAGATCGGCAAAAATTTCACGGCCATTCTTGCCGAGTTTCGAGAGAAACTTGATTACGACGCGCTGCTCTTCAACGGAAGCGGGCTCCATGCCGACGGGGTTTCGTTAAGAGGTAACTTCACAGATGGCGTGACAAGCCAGTTCGCACCGCACGGCGGTCAGACCAGAACTGAAGCATTGTTAGGGACATAAGGAAGGGGTCCTGCGCTTACCTGGCCTCCCCACTCCTCTTTCTCGCATTCCAGAACACTTTTATACGAACTTTCCGGACAGACCTCGTATTGATAATGTTATTAGTCAATATATTAACGATATTGCGGCCATTGCAATTTGGTTTGACATTTTAATATCCAGTTAATCAAGTTTTTTGATCTAAAAAGATCTGCCTCAAGTTTAAATATTACTTCCTGGTAAATTGAAGTTTGTAATATATGTATTACATCCATTGTTTTTTTGATAAGCAGTTTATTTGTACAATTCGTGTTTCTACCGTCAAGCAGTTAGTTATGTTTGCTCGGCTGCGTTTCGGTTTGAAAGGTGTGATATGGCAGTGAATTTACATGGTACAGAGGAATAACACCTGAGTCCTCAGGAATGGCAACGCATGGGGTGGTATCATGGGCGAAACAGTATACTCTGTTATGTCCATGATACTGCTTATGTCTATAGGCGACAATTACCACTTTCCATCAGGTGGGCCGTCAGCTTGTTTGCCATTCTAAGTTGGATAAAAAATTCGATAAATATTTTTTCTGTTTCTTAATGTTCGTCTTTCCAGGATTTTTTAACCGACTTGAAAAAAAATATGGTTCTCAATTCAGTTATATTTTTTACCTCATAACTCCGTTAGTTGTAAACCGACTTGGAAAATTCTTTTTTTATTTTATCTGAATACATACATAGATTAATTTCATGAGAATTTTATTAAAATCGATTCAGTAATTTAGTTTTTGCATCAAAATAACTGGTTTTGCCGCAATCAATTGTGGCAAGTTTTTGTTTGTAGAACTTAGTACATGTGTCCAGTCCAGTCATAATAAAACTCTAATATTTGTAACGTACAATGCACACATATTGTGCAAGCCTACAGTTTGACTCACCTGACGATACTTGACGACAATTCTCGCCTATAGACAAAACGACAACAGAATCTACTGGTAAATACATTTTGTCACTTTTTTTTATAGGTGATAATGAAATAGTAACCCCATCCGCGCTATCGGTATACACCGGCGGGGCACCAGTAAAGGATGATAGACGAGGATGAAATAGGTCAGTTAGCCAATCGTGACGAATTCAACGAGAATTGTTCACGATGGTTTCCAGGGGGAACCACGCGGAGGTTGACCTGATAGGGCATATTGCTAGCAATAGGGCTGTCAAACTCCATTGCTAACAATCCCTTCCCCCCACATTTTGTCACTTTCCTCGTAGAAACTACGTTGAATCTCCTTATTCCGTTCTATCTTATGTATGCGGTAGCGAAAACGTACCTCTCGTATCTGCCAATGATTTATTTGCCACTTATGTAGACTGATCATATGTTTATAATCTATCTTCTCTCTAGGGTGGAGGGCGACGCGAGTGCGACGACGCGGGACGGTGCGCGTGCGGCCGACGCGTCCCGCCCGCGCCGCCCGCGCAAGCGCATCATCCCCTTCGCGCACTGGATGAGATGTCGCCACCGTTACTCAGGTCAGTACCAACTTTAGGGGTTCTTTAAAGGGTGAAAATGGAATGGTAACCCCGACCCGCGCTATCGGTATACACCGACGGGGCACCAGTGAAAGATAGGTGAGAATGAAGGCAGGTCATTTGGCCCACCATGTTGAATTCAACAAGAATTAACCATGATGGTTTCCAGGGGGAACCGCGTGCAGGTCGACCTGAGAGGGCATATTGCTAGCAATTAGGCTTATTAGACCTCATTACTGACAATCCCTTTCTCCCCGGCTTTAGGGGTGGAGGTGGGGTGGGGGCGATCATATGCTACCTACATGGAGCACCATATTCCAAGGGAGACAGATTTTTAATAGCGAAGACAGGATGCCTACACAAAGCACCTAAAAGAGGGTAGACAGCAGATAGATATCAGTAATACGCCTCATTCATAGTAAACTAACTATCACTCTAAAGTGAATGGTGAGTCTTTAAATGCTTTTTCAACCCCCGTTGAAATAAGAGGGGTGTTAGTTTTCGTCGTTGTTTTTTTTTAATGGATGAAGATGGAATAGTAACCCCGCTTGTGCTATTGGTATACGCTGGCGGGTCACCAGTGAAGGGTGACAGGTGAGGATGAAGGCAGGTCAGTTGGCCCATAGTGATTAATTGAACAAGTGTTAACCACTATGATTTCCAGGAGGAACCACGTGGAGGTCAACCTGATAGGGTATATTGCTAGCAATGAGGCTGTTAAATCTCATTACTAATAATTCCTTTCCCCCTTTTCGTCGTTGTTGTTGGTAAAAATTTTTGACAGCCTCAACAACGTATTAACATAATCGGCTAGTATCTTAACTATTTTTAAGAATTTTTTTTTTTGGCATTATGTCTCTCCTTATAAGAGCCGGATATTAAACCCGGTACCTTAAAATTTTATGCAAAGCAACGATCATATATAGGCAGGCATGTGTTAAATAATAAAAAAAAATACTAATAAAAAACATGATTAAAAATGGCGAGGAAGTAACCGCTGATTCACAAGATTCCTGCTAACCGCAATTTTCGTTACAATCCATAAAGTGCTGTAACTAAAGGTAATAAGAGTCAAAATGCTTTGCATGCGTACTGTAACCAGAGTTCAATGACATGAATGACTACAAAATCATTTAGTATGCGTATTGCATATCTAGATTTTACGTGATACTAATAATTTCTGAAGTTTCTTGATAAGGTGCAAAAACAGCCAAGTGCATTATGATACGCGCTTTGAATAGATATAAGTATGTGTTACATACCTGTTATTACATTTCCTACGATTGACTGAGACGACTACGATAAACTGAGAATAACACTTACATCTAATTATAATTCGTGGTTAATTTGTATTGATTCGTAATGATGAATCATTTGACCAGCGGGTCTACCATGAAATGAAATTCCGAAATTTCGGACTCAATTTCGTGTTTATGTTTATACCAAAATCGGACCAATAAATGGAGTTTTCACATTTCGTTCGTCATACATCCTATCATAAAAGTCCAAAGGAACAATATTTTAACATTTTTAATATTTCCAAACGGCATGTATTATGTAATTTTAACATCAAATTTCTGTTTCGTTTGGCTCCGAAATTTCGGAAAACATTTCATGGTAGACCCTCTGATTTCGTAGTCGTCATTCGTCATCATTCATTGGTACTCTGCCGGCATAAATTAATAATAGCAAAGGCTGGGGTCTTTTTCCTTTTTACATACTTTAAAAATCTATTTTAATTAGAATTTTCAGTGAAGTGTTTTGCAGCAATGTACTTTATCAGGTCTACTGTCACTCGGTCCTCTGGAAACCACAGTCAATTCATCACAATGGGTCAACTGACCTTTCCTTCACTGGTGCCTTGCCAGCAGAAAGTAATAACGCAAGCAGAGTTACCATTTCATTATCGCCCATTTTGCCTATGCATGATTGAATATCAAATGAATAATAAATAATAATTTCTAAACATTTAAAGTAATAAATGTAGAGCTAGTTAGGATTACGATTGGGTACCAGGTCAATCTGTTAAGTTATCATCATCATCTTCCTACCCTTATCCCAATTATTATTTGGGGTCGGCGTAATATGGTTTTATCCATATTACAAAAGGATTTAGCTTATAGTTTTACAACCGGCTGCCTGCCTGACGTCAACCCTCTTTGGGAATCTGTTAAGTTATATTGTTTGATATAATACTATTACAACCCGTTATCAATAATTCTATTTCTCCCGCAGAAGAAGTTGTATCATGAGATTGTATTATTTAATTTTACAACTTTAGCATTTTTGTATACTCGTAGATTGCTGCTTTATTTATGTCTATTTATGGCCAGTTTCCATTCTTTACACAGGTCTAACCCAATATACACCGAAGAAGAGGAGCAAGAGGTAGTAATAATCGTGGATTCGTTAGAGAGTGTGGAGGGTGAACAGGGGGAGGTTCCCTGTACGCCCCGCACTCCCCGCCGAGCACCTTCCACCTCGTCAGGTAAGCGATTTTGATGGGTAACACCAGCTCGAATAACTTCAGTTCATCATATATATCTGTCATAGAGTTAATGCCCCAATGCATTTTGTTTCGAAACATGAATTTGATTTAAAGACTAAAGTAAGTATCACTGATCTCATAATTCTTGAGCATTATCTATGAATTTAGAATATTGAATTAGATATTGAATGAAGACTTAACGATATTGAAGAAATAAAAGAGTAACATTTTTAAATTAATTATAAATTCAAATTTTCACTAATGCCTACAAGTAATATCATCAGTACAATATTTTATAAAACCTTTTATATACATCCTATTTGGTATCTCATAATACACGATATCCCACGTACATCTGTCTTGGTCAGGTTATGGGAGCGGGGGCGGCAGCCACGGCCGTGTGTCACCAAGCTTACCAAAGACCGAGCACTTCACCGAGCCCACTCGGCGACTGTCTGACTCGGACAAGAATGATGGATCTCACACCACATCGGACTCTGATGGCAGTCCAATTTGCACGCTGTCCAGAAGTCTTAAAGAAGATATTAGGTCATGTTTAGGTGGATGCCGGTGAGTGAAGCCAATTTTTTTAGCAAAATTGTTCTGTGTCTAAACAAGATACGATCCTTGAAACTTTTTTCTAACTTCTCTTTGAAGTTTTACATTCAGCGCTCAATTATTGCTTTTATCGTAAAATGTTCCAATTGATTTGAAATTACAAAAATCATCATGTATTTTTGAAACTAGTAGCCCCATTATTGGGAATACCATATGAGGTCGATCTTGAATCGTGGCCTCGATGCATTGAAGAGCTTGCTGACTTTACTTCATTCTCTTTAGTACTCCGTTAGCGTCAACCAATAGTCCTGGCGGGGATATCATTAGTTATTTTTTTTTTATACAACTTAGAATGGCAAACAAGCTGACAGCCTACCTGATAGGAAGTGGTAACCGTCGCCTATAGACATGAGCAGTGCCATGGACATAACAGAGTATACTGTTTCGCCCATGACACACTCCATGCGTTGCTATTCCTGGAAGCTCAGGTGTTATTGCTCTGTACCCTGTAAATTCACGCTATATCCCGCCCTTCAAACCGAAACACAGCCATGCAAACACAACTGCTTCACGATAGAAACACAAATTCTTGGTGAATTCGTAATGATGCGACAACTGAACTGAATTTATTATCATATGCCACCCATTAGTATACTGGCAGTATGAACCAATAATTCAAGTTAGGTTGCTATACCATTTCATCTTTTTAAAAAAATATCTACTACATCAGGGGTTATAATTAGAGGCATATTTATTTATTAATAATCTATCTATGTCGTCATCGTGTTAGCCGTGTAGGTCCCGGCATAGAAAAGGTCATCCCTTCCTTTCTCGTGGGTATTGTAAGTGGTGACTAAGGGATGGAGGGATGGGCAGCAGCATGCCTCTTAAAACATCACCAAAGCCAAACTGCGGTTGCCAACCCGCTTGTCAAGCGTGGCAACTACTGGCAAAACCCCCCTTATGGGGGAGGCCTATGTTCAGCAATGGGAAGTTAACGGCTGATATAATACAAAAATCTATCTGTAGATGGGAGAAAGACGTTGGGGATGTCGTCGAAGCGGCAGTCCGAGGAGCCGGCGGCATCAGCGCTGCCCGCGCGCGTCTCCACGCCGCACTCCTGGCGTTACATGAGCCCCCGCCGCGGATCCCTAACCGGGGTCCGTCGCTCCCTTACTGCGGCCCTGGAGTCCGACCAGGTGACGTCACTATGATGCCGAAGAACACAGAGATGTCTTTATTGGTAAGTACTATGTTTGGCTTCCAAAGATTCGTACTGCATACTATATATTACAAATGATAATATATTTCTATAATTTTTTTATTGTTTCATAATCTTTAACAGGTCTATATGAATTTCATTAATTCTATTATTTCCTTCTTTGTTTATTAGTTTAATTTAACATAGATTCCTCTTAGTTGATATATTATATAATAATATTATCTTTTATTACCTTTTTAATGTTTCTACTTATTGATATTGTTTCTTCAGTCTTCAGTATACAAATAGAGTATCGATCCGCAAAAGTGGATCAACTTTTTGTCAGCTAATTGTCAAATAAGCGGACTCGTTTTTTATCAGTGTTCTATATACTGTGCAGAAGTTATAAGGCAAAATAAATATAGAAGTTACAAAGGAAACACTCATAACTATTTATTGCGCAAAATTGTATAAAAAAGTTGATCCGTTTTTCTCGAAGCATTTCTATGGACTCACTCTAGATGATCTAAGTACTTAAATTTTAAAATATTAAAATTTGTAGAAACACAGATATAATTTTGATAAAATTGAGAACTCCCTCCTGTTAACAATTATTTAAAAACAAATAGATGTATAATACAAATACTAGTTATAGATTACTTGAAAGCTTAGCCAAGCGTATCGTCACTAACTACTGTAAATAATAATAATAATAGTACCTATAAATATAATATATACCGAGAAAAAGAGAAAATATCTTGACCTGGCTCACGAGGTGACCGAAATGTGGGGGGTGACGTCCACCGAAATCATTCCAATCGTTTTGTCGGTGAACGGTCTTATCCCAACCAGTCTGGAACAACATTTCAGACGGTTGGGATTCCGAGGTAGCTCACTCCCGGGAAAGATGCAGAAAGCAGTGCTTTTAGATTCTGCCCGCACTGTACGCCGGCTTCTCTCCCTGGGGCCTTGAACCCTAGCCAACCGTTCTTCTGCCGGGGATTATTTTACCATATCCTCTCCTTCAGAGGGGAGATGTGAGTTTCGTTTAAAAAAATAATAAGTAAAAAAACTAACAAATTGAGAACCTTTTGGAGTTGGATAAAAAATAAACAAAACGATTGCACAATTCAACAAAACATTTCAAGGGCCGTGTAAAATATTTGTATATATTATAATTATTAATAAATTATAAAAATGTATACAACATTGCCACAATACTGTTGTATAATAATAATAATATGTAATAGATAATAATAGGTTACAGAACTACAGTTAGAATATGTTTCGCCACAAGCCCTTTGATGGGCGGACGAAATCAACTCCAATTGTTTTGACCCCTTAGGGCATTACAATAATTCATTAAAATATACAATTCTATTAATGACTACCTAGTTATCTGTGGCATTGTACGCACGGATTCTGAAATGTTCTCACAATAGTTTCACCACACGGAAGTCGTAAGCAGATTACAGTTGAATGAATGAATACTCATCCATTTGTCAATCAAATATCAATCAATCAAAGTATACTTATACTTTAATTCCATTATACAATATAGGGCAGGGAAGGGGGAAAAGGGATTGTTAGTAATGGAAACTGAGAATCCCATTGCTAGCAATATACCCAACCAGGTCGACCTCCTCGCGGTTCCCCCTGGAAACTGTCATGGTTAATTCCTGATGAATTCATCATGATGGGCTAACTGGCCTGTTTTCATTCTCATCTATCACCTTTCACTGGTGCTCCGCCAGCTTATTCCGTTAGCGCAGGCGGGGTTACCATTTAATCTACCCTCATTAATAAAAAAAAACCATTCCATTACCAAACATAAAAAAAAAAACAGAGTATATTGCTGGCAATGAGACCGCTACTACTTACTGTGCTTAGATTTGAATTTATTGATATTTTTTTTTCTGAGACATCGATATTCGTATATATTGTATTGTATTGTATCACCCGTTAACTGTCCACTGTTAAACATAGCTTCCCCCATAAGGAGAGTTTTGCCATTAGGCTTTGGAGATGTTTGAAGATGCTGTTATCCATTTTTTTACCATAGCTCCCTTACACGTCCACGGGAAAGGAAGAGTTGGCCTATTTTATGATGGGACCACGGTCATATTTTTTTTATTTTTTTTTATACAACTTAGAATGACAAACAAGCTGACGGCCCACCTGATGGAAAGTGGTAACCGTCGCCTATAGACATAAGCAGTACCATGGACATAACAGAGTATACTGTTTCGCCCATGATACCCCCCATGCGTTGCCATTCCTGAGGACTTAGATGTTATTTCTCTGTACCCTGAAAATTCACGCCACATCCCACCCTTCAAACCGAAACACAGTCATGCAAACACAACTGCTTCACGGTTGAAACACGAATGGGACAGAGGTACCCAAGCAATCGACTTTTGTACAAAGTCTGCCTCTGGTGAGATTGTTAATATTATTAAGATTATTAAAAAAGATATTAATTTTTTTCTAAGACATCGATATTCGTATATATTGTAGTGTATTGTATCACCCGTTAACTGTCCACTGTTGAACATAGTATCCCCCATAAAAGGGGTTTTGTCAGTACTTGCCACGCTTTGTAGGCAGTTTGGCAATCGTAGTTAGGCTTTGGAGATGTTTGAAGATGCTGTTATCCACTTTTTTACCATAGCTCCCTTAGTCTCTTCCCTCCCTTAGTCTCGTCCCTTAGCCTCTTACGGCGACGGGAAACGCCCATGGGAAAGGAAGAGATGGCCTATTTTATGATGGGACCACGGCCATATATATAATCTTATATATAAAATTCTCGTGTCACGGTGTTTGTTACCAAACTCCTCTGAAACGGCTTCACAGATTTTTATGAACTTTTGTGTGTATATTGGGTAGGTCTGAGAATCGGCCAACATCTATTTTTCATACCCCTCAATGGTAAGGGTGACCCTCCCCAAAATTGTTTTTTTTTATTTTTTTAACAAATTTTTCCATTTTTATTTTATTATGATTTAGCATTAAAAAATACATACAACTTTAAATTTTCATCATTTTACGATCAACCCCTGTCTTTTAATCGCGATTTTTATATTTCGCAATAAGTGGTAAAACAACGTTTACGGGGTCAGCTAGTATGTATATAAAAAGATCGTATTAAAAATATTATGGAAGAACAAATATATTAATTGTATACCTTTATTGTAATACCTTGTAACCTCTATACAACCATCAATCAGAGACAAAACGATCAGCAATTAAAATACCTACATACATACATTGCTTTACATTCGTGTTATATTTAAGTTTTATACTTTTAATACCACAATAATTAATAGGAACAGAGTTTCTTGAGCCCTGTAATCAATGTTTTATCACGAATTCTATATTAAAACTATTAAACATCAATTATTTTTAGATATACTTCTCGCATAATTGTTCATCATCCAAGGATGAAGGGCGAAGGGCCAGACAATTATAACTGTAACGGACTCTATAATAAAAACGTAATTAATGTTTGTATGTTTATTAACTCATCACGAAAAATTGACTGAACAATAATTGGATGTGGTAACTCATTCATTACATTATTAAATCATACAAAAATTAATAGACTATGTTAATATTTATATCAAAGGCCAATATATTGATAATTTTTAACCTAACAATGTATACCATTTATTTACCAGAGGGAGACTTTGTACAAAAGTCGATTGCTTGGGTACCTCTGCCCCATTCGTGTTTCTATCGTGACGCAGTTGTGTTTGCATGGTTGTGTTTCGGTTTAAAGGGTGGGATATGGCGTGAATTTACAGGGTACAGAGGATAAACACCAGAGTCCTCAGGAATAGCAACGCATGGGGGGTATCATGGGCGAAACAGTATACTCTGTTATGTCCATGATACCACTCATATCTATAGGCGACGGTTACCACTTTCCATCAGGTGGGCCATCAGCTTGTTTGCCATTCTAAGTAGTATAAAATATATATTTATTACTATGATACTATAATATATGCTAACAAGTTGTTAAACCGCTGTATCAATTGTTCACGTGCAATAAAGAATTTATATATATATATATATATATATATATATATATATATATATATATATATATATATATATATATATATATATATATATATATACTACCAGAATTTTTCGACTCATGTTTCTTTGGATAAACTGTCCTGTTTTGTTACTGATATAAACAAACAATTACAAGAAATAATCACAATGAGAAAACAATGGGCGACCTTATCGCTAAAAGCGATCTCTTCCAGGCAACATTTGGATAGAGAGGAGTAATTATAAATAGTTAAGGATGTTGATGATTTAAATTTTACCTTGTACTACACTACATCACTCATCTAAAAATTATCTCAGCCATATTTGAATAACAAAGAAATCTAAATGAGCGTTAAGAGATAATAAAGTATATAGACATAGGGATATCCGAGATGCATTAACCTCAAAAATAAACTTGATATTATTCATACAAAAACATTACCATTCTACTGATATTATCGTTTGTTTATATGGTTAGGATCGCGGAAAACGACTATGGGTTAACTCAACTAGCTGGGGTAATATCGTCCGCAATCCGCTTGACTAATTGGTAATAAAAGGGTTCGTTAAACTGTGCTGTTATTGAACAGTTTTTCAATGAGAGTAATATAGCTTAATAAGTATTCGAGCCATCCATTATTCAGAAAATAATAAAGACTACTTGACGGTTTAATTAAACTGTTAGTAAAATATATGACAGTTTTATGGAGTTAAACATGAAATAATACTGATAAAGTAAAACTAATAATGTCTGATGTACTTTTGAGGTGTTTAATAAACTAATACTTGAACTTGATGTAATTACTTAATATTTTGGCTAATTAACTATATTTCGTTTATTTCAGTCTATTGTAACATTGTAACTAAAAAATATTAATATGTAAGTTTATATCTTTGGTATATCGTGTAACTATTATATAGGTAGATAGATAAATGATTTATTTGTATCTCTATCACATATTTAATGACACAAAAAAAAACAA